TTTATAAAAAAAACTTTGGCGATTTTTTTCAGATTTTTTCCTTTATCATTTCACCTGTAATCCTATCGTAACCAGGCGCTTTATTCTTTTGAATGTCATTGAAAAATGGTGTTAATTAAATCTTTCTTTTTAAACCGAAGCGCATTTGTTGTAAGGCTAAGGGGGGTATTGAAATATTGTAAGGATGAGCGCCTTCATTGGGTCTAAAGACTTGTAAAAGATGATAGGCGAAAGCTACTTTATCCTCATTATTCCTCGCCCAGCTTCCGCTCTCAGTACATAATGGTACTTCTCGAAGAACGTTCAGTCAGTGTTCGTAAAAGGGAGTAGTCAGTCTGTTTCGAATAAGACAAGAACTGAAGGATCGACTGCGTACTTCTTTATTTTTCCGCCCGTAACAAAATACGTAATTCCTGTGTACACGCATTCAGCTCCTGTTTAAGTTTAAGAGACATTCCCTTCTTAATTTGCGCTTTTTACTTATTAAGTTAAGAATATTTGGGGTGCGCAGGCCAGGGAAGTAAGAACTGCGATGTTTAATAGATGGAGTTGGTGTTGCAATTTCTGCGGCATTAACTATTTTATCAGTAAGATTTTTAGCTGCCCTGTCGATATCATTCTTGGCCCGATTAAGATAAGGGTCAATTTGCGAACTGACGTACTTTTAGTATTTTAACTAGTTTCCAATTCAATCCAATTTTCAATTTACTTCAATAGCAAATATTCGTACAGTAAGACCGAGATCTTATATAATAATAATATAATAGATTGGCGCTTACACATATGTTAGTGTTTGGTCGAGCTTCTCCTCCGATTTGTGGCGTGTGCCTTCATGTTGTCACACAAAGCGGAGGGACCTACAGTTTTACGCCGACTCCGAACGGCGATTGTATTTTTATGAGAAGCTGTTTTCCATGGCAGAAATACACTCGGAGGTTTGCCATTGCCTGTCGAGGGACGACCGCTATTAAGAAAAAACCTTTTTTCTATATTTTTGCGATGTTGCTTTGACCAGAGTTTGAACCCTGGTGGCGGCCGATAGTACAACAAATAAATTCAATACAAAAATATACATTAATACATATAATTAATTAAATCACNTTTTAACTAGTTTCCAATTCAATCCAATTTTCAATTTACTTCAATAGCAAATATTCGTACAGTAAGACCGAGATCTTATATAATAATAATATAATAGATTGGCGCTTACACATATGTTAGTGTTTGGTCGAGCTTCTCCTCCGATTTGTGGCGTGTGCCTTCATGTTGTCACACAAAGCGGAGGGACCTACAGTCAATTGTTAGAAAAGTAGCTATATAAAATATTTTTGAAGTTGCTTTTATTGATCTTGCTTCTTATTGCAGCGGGAATGGAATTCCCGATTCGTATAGCATTGATGAAAAATAGTCTAGTAAAATTCTTAAAGTTAAATAAAGGCACCATTAGATCACAGGAACGCTCAGACTTTGGAAAAATTAATTTCTCATAAAGGTAAGGTAGGGTCTTTGTGCTTATAAAAAGACGCAGTTTCTTGCTTTTAGATAATCAGTGATATCTCATCCCAACAAGCTACATCTCCACGCAGATTTATGGTCAAACTTCCGCAATCCATATACGTAACGTCTAATTTGATTAAATACGGTGTCAATCTTATGTGATGACTTGGAATCAAGCCTACTATATACCACCTCGGCATAAATAATAATGGGTAAAATTAATTGACGCGAAAGCTTTCTTCTAGTTGGAATCGGAACAAACGATGCTGATTATCTTAGATTTCTTAGAATACCATATACTTTGTTCACAACAGAATTAACGTAATCAACGCAGCTAAGGCTAGAATTGATAACAAACCCCAAATTGATTACTTTATCAATTAATTTCAGGGGATTGGTTTCAAGATAAACTGAAGGAATCCTGCGTATTTGTAAGATTTTTTTGTTTATGTTCATAATTAATAAACATTGATAATGTTATGCGACAGGAAGAGAGATCAAGCATTATTAACTTGGTGTCGCGCAATACCCTTTGTTACTCCAAAGTCAATAAGATCGGGTATTTTTTGAGGGTCAGAAGGCCAATACGTTGGCTGACCAGTACACAAGACGTCAAATTCTCTGTTCTGGATTGGTTGATTTTCTAAGTTCTAAGTAGCGCAAAGTTGGCATAATCAGGCTTTTAGTCTGTCCCAGTATCCATCAGATTTACTGAGAGTTCGTTCGGATACATACATTAAGGCATATTAATAATAAACATGTGCTGCTTGTATATGCTCTGCACTTCAATGTAAGTATAAACAGTGCTTTAGTCATACTGTATGCCAACTTTACAGCAGTGATCGGACTAGAAAAAAAAATTTGTGTGGAAGAATCTGGAAAAAAATGTGTTAGATTTCAAAAAAATGTGGTAGATCTCAGGTTTTGGATCAAACTTTGTACAAAAATTAAAAATATTCTGCAAGGTTTCCCCTAAATTGCAAACATTTTAATTCAAGATTGAAGTTGCTAAAAATTCCGTTGAGATTTGGCAATTTTTTTCCTTGACAGTGTCCGCTTTTCTTTTTATCACATCACGATGTAGCGGACAAATGTGGCACGTTCCAGAAACCACTACTCGATTCTCAAGTAAAGTAAACAATGCTTTAGAAACTTTAGATACACGGAAATTTTCCAATACTTTCACAAAAGTCGGCGTTTTTTCATTTTCGCTATTAATTCTTTTTTATAAATCATATATTTTGCAAATTAACAAAATAAAACCATGTTTCCTGTCGAAAAATTGAATATTGAGAAAATTTACTATTTTAATGTTTCTTTTATCCTCCCATTCTGCCTGTTATTAGTGTTTAGTGTTGGACAATTTTTGCTCTTAAAATTAAGAAAACTATATCGAGCAAAAATAAAACTACTCAAAAACGCGAATATGTGGTAGATTTCAGACCTTGTGTGGTAGATGTGGTAGATGATCAAAAAAGTGGCAGATCTACCACAATGTGGTAGAAGTCCGATCACTGCTTCACAGGCATCCCGTTCATGGAGGAAAAACTGCGTGGGCAACGATTTTCATCGCCAGAAAATGCTTCACTAATTGGTTTGAGCGTATGCAACTGATTTTTACTGACTCGGATGTTAGTTCAGCTTCTTTGCAAAATTTTTAAACATTCATTAATTTCCATCACTATGCGTCATAATACTTATGTAGATATCGTCACTAGACACTAGACCTGTCAAACTATCGACGATACTATCGATAGTATCGATACTCTGGTCACATGAAATAACTATCGATAGTTTTAGTACTATCGCCACTATCGATTCATTGATAGCGTTTTCTCTTTCCTGGCTTTTGACATTTGCACGTATTGGTACAAAGAGAACAAAACTTGGCAGCATTATTTCCTGAACGAACGAATAAAGATCACCCAGGACGGAGTACGAGAAAAAAGTATTTTTTTTACAGTGACGTCATTTTTTCGCCGCTATGTGAATGAAACGGAATTAAAACGTGAGTGTGAATGAAACAACCGATTAAAAAATGACGTTATCAACTATTATTTTTTTCTCAAATGCAATTACAAATACACGGGTGCCGTGCTGGGTGATCTGTTTAGTTGGTTTGTGGCATTATTTCTAAAAGCATCATTTTATATTTTAAGCGTGGAAATAGCAGAGGTTACATTTAGGGACACGATATCGAACAGAAAGTATCGATAAGGTACTCATTTAAAGTATCGCTTCAAAAATATCGGGTACCCATTAATATCGGAATAAAAGACTCGATATTCCAAATATCGATACCAAAATCCAAAAACTTTATCTAAATATAGGTCTGGTATATAGGCCGCTGTGGTGTAATGGTTAGCAGTGCGCAAACTGTAGGGGCCCCTTTTGTGCCACAACATTAAGGCGTGCGCGACAAATAGGAGGAGAATCTCGGTCAAACACTAACATATTGTGTAACCGCACGTAGAGATTGATGTGTTGACTTAAAACACCGAGGTCGCGTGGTCAAATTCCACCACATGTAATCCTAACTATATTACAAATTTCTGCTCTTTAAAGCCCAATTTATATCGGGAAGAATTGTTAATAACATTATCCTTGTAATGTGAGTTTATGACATTCGATACGATACTAGGGTTCTGGTACTCGATTCCAAAAAATATCGTTTTAAAACTATCGAGTAGAAAATATCGGCATCGAATGCCAAAAGTATCGATATGGTATCGTATCGAAATTCGTGTCCCTAGTTACATTGCCGTCTTAAGAGCGTGCCAGTCGTGGCAACACAGTATATTTCAAAAGACTGTCAAATTGAGAAATTTCAGAATGCAGTTGCATGAGCAGCGGCACTTTGCATGTAAAGTATTTTTCGAATTGCAGGGAAAATTTCTGAAATCGCTTTTTGACTGTTTACACGGCGAATGAATTTCTATCAATATTTCTCGATACTAAAATGCAACCGTGAGCCTTTAAAATAAACAAATTTATAATAGCTAGATGGAATGGGTCGATACTATCGATAGTCACCCTTAAGACTATCGTAAAACATCGATGGACTTGACTATCGATAGTTTGACAGCTCTACTAGATACGAATAACTAAAGGCGCGCTAGTGTTTCGACGGCGTAAAAAGACGTTTAAGAAAAACTTCGGCGAAGAAAGACGCGTAACATAGTTGACGGCGAAGAATGAGGAGTAATCATAGATTTATACTTGGCCAAATACTATCACTTCAGCATCATTCTCAAATTCTCTTTGGGTAATTTACATATTGCTATATCCGCAAACATAGTTGACCGCGAAAATAAGTTTACGCGTCCTTCTTCGCCGTCAACTGTGTTAAGAGTCTTTCTTCGCCGAGCTTTTTATGCCCCTTTTTTCGCGGTCAACTTTTGAGCTCGCGCCTTTATTCGTGTCTAGTGACGATATGTATATACTAATTATGCCATCTTTTCTTGTATTTTTATATCTGACTACTGGAATGGGAATCACCAAAGGTCATCGCAGCATGCGAACCGTTACCAATTATTTCTTGCTTAATTTGAGCATCGCCGATTTGCTAATGTCCTCGCTGAATTGTGTTTTTAATTTCATTTTTATGCTGAACTCCGACTGGCCATTCGGTTCAATTTATTGTACCATAAACAATTTCATGGCAAACGTTACTGTATCGACATCGGTTTTTACATTGGTTGCTATCTCATTAGACAGGTAAGTCTAACCACGTATGTATGTACATAACCTATACTACCAAATAAAATTGATTATATGGGAAATTGTTCAGCTTTGGCTCCCAAAGTACTCAACCGATTTTAGTAACTCTTTGTTTTTAAATGAAGCATTTGGGAAAAACAACTGAGTGGTATACTTTTATTTTTACAAGCTTTTATTTAACTTGGTCATCCCGCGGAAATCGCGGAAATTTCCAATCGATTTTAAACTAACTTCCCGACAAGTTAGAGACTTGAAATTTTCAGCATAGTTCCAATCACGATGATAATGAAATTTAAAATATAAATGAATTCCCTATATGGTCCAGGGGTCTTGATTCAAAGCTACGCTACGCAAACGTTAAAGCTGTGAAGCTGTGTTTTTTGTGATCTGCTTAAGTTTTGTGTTTTATAAAGCTGTTTACACTTAATAAAGTAAAAAATTAAAAAAAGTGTTAACAAACTTCTGGTGCACAACTTAAAGATAAGTAAAATATCTAAATTTCCTGTAAATTTGACTAATATAAACTGATATTTTTAATTGCATGTGCCGAGTATTTTGTTTCATATAATATATTGTTGTTGTACAATTGTTTTTGTTTGTGCACATTGATTTTGCTATTTTTGTCTTTTTGTCATTTCTGCTGTTTTATCTTTGTCACAGCAGTTTGCGTTGTGTTTATTTGGTGTCAAATATACAGTGCATTTAAAACTGTTCGCTACATAGCTTTCCAACTGATATTTACCAGCTGATTGGTTCTCCGTTTGATACGTAGTTTTCAAAACTGTTTTGCTTTTTTCTTCTAAAACCTAAAAATAAATATAATTTTAAACATGTCGTGTANGATCTTTATTCGTTCGTTCATGAAATAATGCCAAGTTTTGTTCTCTTTGAACCAATACGTGAAAATGTCAAAAGTGCTAGGAAAGAGATAAATAATAAAACGATAGTGGCGATAGTACTAAAACTATCGATAGTTATTTCATGTGGCCAGACTATCGATACTATCGATAGTATCGTCGATAGTTTGACAGCTCTAGTTTACGTTGATGATGTTCCGAAGTCCTCTATTAATCGGTGTGATCCCCTAGTTTTGCCAGAGGATGCATACCATCCCGCTCTTAAGTTAAGCTACGAAATCATAAATGAAATACATAATAATAAGTCGTATAGTTCAAGTACTAGATATGTTTTTGCGAAAGCAAATTTCGGTAAATTAACGAAGAACTTTCAAAGTTATCTTGGCCAATATATAGAGATGACGTGGAGCGTAGCGTTGAACACTTTAATGATACTGTTTTCAATTTGTTTCGAAAGTATGTGGCAAAACGTAATATTGTTCATGAAGAACCAATGCAATTATGGTTCACTAAAGAGCTTAAAAAATTGAAAAATAAAAAGTCACATTCTTTTCAACTGTATAAAAGAACGGGCTTACACAGTGATCACGTAAAGTACTCAGTTTTGCGGCATAATTACTTTGCATTAAATAAGAAATGTTATAATTCATATCTATGTAAAATTAATAAGAATTTAATTAACAATCCTAAATCATTTTATGGTTTCGTAAATACAAACCGCAAAGTACATGGTTTTCTGTCCGCTAGGCATCATCGCAACACTGTGTCTAGCGACAGCCAACTCATTGCCAACATGTTTGCTCAGTTCTTTAGGTCCAATTATTCTGTAGACTTCCCTATAAGTGGAGACTATCCGTAGGAGCTTTGTCCAATCAGCTCTGCTTATATTCCAGTAATATCTTCCGATGAAGTTTTACACTATTTAAAAACCTTAAAAGTGTCATTTAAGCCTGGACCTGATCATAATCCGACCTGTTTTCTTAAAAACTGCACTGAGAACATCTGCGAGCCTTTAACAACTCTATTCAATTTGTCACTTAAACATAGCGTTTTTCCGTCAGCCTAGAAGGAGTCTTTCATAATACCACTTTAAAAAAACGGCAGCAGGTCCTCTATAGAAAACTATCGAGGCATAGCGAAACTCTCCGCTATCCCCAAATTATTCGAAGCAATTATTGTTAATCAGCTGACATATTCTATATCTTCTTCAATTTCAAAATCTCAACACGGGTTTTCTAAAGGAAAATCTACTATCACTAATTTATTGGAGTTTCCAACTCATGTCTCAAACGGTTTTAGAGAAAATGCTCATACCGACGTAATATACACCGATTTCACCGATCGGCTTTCAGCCCAATCTTCTTCAATGGATCTCATCTTACCTCTCTGATAGAACACAAAGAGTTATTGTTAATAATTGTTCTTCCAACATCATTAAAGCTTCTTCAGGAGTTCCTCAGGGAAGCCACCTTGGTCCGATTCTGTTCCTGATATTCATTAATGATATTTCTTCTATAATAAAACATTCAAAAATTTTAATGTATGCCGATGATGTGAAACTTTTTAAAACATTGTCCTCTATCGAAGAAAGGTCTTTGTTACAAGCGGATCTGAACAACGTGGTTAGTTGGTGTAATACAAACTATATGCCACTAAACCTTCAAAAATGTAAAGTTATGTGTTTCTCTCGGAGGGCTGT